AGACATTTTGCTCTTTCTAACAAAAGAAAGAACTTTCTAGGACATCTCAATACGTTACTATATCAAAAGGTAAATTAATGCAAAACTTTTGCTTCATCCGTTCGATGAAAACATTCTTTTGATTCGTTTCAAATCATGGATTAAGAATGGATTGCAAAAATAATGGAGTTGCTTCAGTAATAAAAATAACTCCACTTCATGAAATAATAAAACAATGAATACCAGATCCAAACAATTTGAGCGAAAACATAACGCCAAAACAAGTACAACCTATTGAAGTGGTGAAGAGCATCTTAGCGATGATCAGCTAATACATTTATTCATTTATCCACCAAATACTACAACTATTGATGCTCCAGCAATTGACCATAATTTTGTAGAAATTGAAGTTGCTGACCTACAAGCACTCGATAACTTGTTTACTTAACTATATCAAGTGGTAATTGAGAACCATACTTTTCATTTGACTGTTGCATCATGACGTCCACATACTTTTTGCACAATCAGCAGATACTATTTATGCCCTATCGAGAAAGATAGCATTAATTGATTAATTACAAAAGCGTTTATGCTGGTTATGTAAATCTAAATAAATAGTCATATTATCAGCTAAGGATTTTACGCGCAACAGTTAACTGATATTATTGAAAGCTATGGATTTGATGATCATGAAGGTTCCATGTTAAATAAAAGTGAACGAAAATCACTTTTAAGTACATTTTTAATCTTAATAAAGTAAAATAAAGTAACATTTCTTACTATTTTTCACTTTTTATAGTATTTTCTCATACTTTTTCGACTTCAAAAAGTACTTAAAAAGGTTCACTTGTAAGTACTTTAACTATTAAAAAAAACTTTTGAAAATAATAAAATGTTGACTTTTGCTTACATTTTTTTTTAATATGGGTTTGAAACTGATTCAAAAATTCGTTTAAAATCATCTGTATCTCGAGCAGAAGCTTATGATTTTTTTCTGGTCAAAACCAGATTGTTGAAATATTTTATAAAAATGAAGAATAACATTATTGATACTCTGGCTATGAAAAACATGTTTTAAGAAGTTAACACTGATTGTCGAAAATCTTTCTGGGGTTTGGATTCTCATACGTAGCAACTCTGGTGCTAGGTAGGTGACATTTATAAAACTTAATTTGAAAATTTCGCCAAATGAACACGTAGAAGACCCAACGATAATATAATCTTTATATTTAGAAAAAAACTGGCGTCTTGACTTAAGATTTCACTGTACGTATCTCTATTGAAGAAATATATTATCAGCAAAAATATATGATGAATATATGAATAGAAGATGCTAACTAGAAGAGCCATAACAAAGTGGTTCAATAATTATTTTTGAAAAATGCAATCATATGCATATATTATAGAACACTAACAGTTTGTACATGAAAAATCTGCACTTAGTGAACCTTACGATAATGTCGGGAAAAAGCAGTTTGATGAGTGTGCACATGCCATGTGTGAAAAAGAAAAGATAAAATACAGGGCCAATGTTAGTCAATAAAGTTTGACGCAGTTACTTTCTTTTTTTTTCTTGCTACACTTACTCACCTTCCTATCCAGACATATCAACATTTGTTTTTTTGTTTATATGAGTGTGCTAAAATTTGAAAGAAAAAATACCAACGTGTTATTGCCTATATATAACATATAGATACAACAGTTCGATTACATTTCTTGAAGCAATAAAACATTCTTTCGCTTTTGCTCGAAGACACAAAGTAAATCTTTGAAATAAATCTTGGTTATTATGTCACAACCTTCGAGTCAATCACACAAGGCCATCATCGAACATTTTGCTGCAGCTGCTAGCAATGGTGATGTCAATCAACTTGACCTTCTTCTCGAAGACAATGTTCAGAAAACCGTAGATTCCAAAGTCGTTTACAAGAACATTCATGAAGCTCGAGAATATTATACTAAAGAAAATGAAACAAAACGAGCGGCTGAATGGAAGGTTCTCAAGTATGTTAATGAAAATCGAGACGAAAACACAATACAAGCTGTAGTGTCGCATGACAACAGAATATGGAATACCATGTATACATTTACCTCATCTGGTAAAATTCGACGAATTGATGTCACTTGCGAGAGTGAACATGACTCGAGTAACAATCAACAATAAGTTATCTGAATGACATTTGAATTCATTTATACTAGCCACTTCTCTGTTGTTATCGTTTTGTTATTTACAGTGACTCTTTGTTTCTTTTTAAATTTTTGAAATAAATAATCGAATTCATTGATAGGATAAATTCAATAAAAATCATATTTTTTTTTATTGAAAACGAAATTCCGCTTACATCCATATTCTTAAAAATATAGGTGTTACACGAAATTTAGAAAGTGATCTTTTGAGAATGATGGCAACTATCTATCAATGTTAAATGTTGAAAAGTATGCGTTCTGCGTAAATTTGCTAGAGTTGAGCAAAATTTCGTGACCCTTCAAGGAATTCCATAGAACTGAATGTATCTTGAGTTAGTAACAAGACTCGTATTCATATGTATTTCTCCTCTACATTCTGATCTAATTAGGTATTTACTGCACACGATCGTTCATTGGTATTAGATTTTGGTATGATTGACCAAAAGAATATTATTCAAAGAGTAGTGTAATATTAGATAATAATAACCTGTCTAGCAGTCATATTAGACGAGAGTCAAGAGGAATTATCATAACAAATTGTAGAGATTACCATGCATGATTTCAGATATTCTGGACTTCTCTTTTTCCTTGAATAGAGCACTGCATTGAATGTAATTATCAATGTTGCTTGTACACTACATAAATCGTAGTGAAATGGATGCTTCTCTTTTCTGATAATGGGTGCTATTGATATAGCATAGAACATAGCAATAAAAGAGAGAGAGCCAGCTTCCTTATTTTTTCCCTCAGACACTACAAATTTACGAATAAACTGTAATCTGATTCGTGTGACGTAATTGCGGTACCTAATTATTATCAGATAGTCTATACATAATTACTGTGTCAGCATTCCGTCAATATCTTCTATTTTTATAGTTCAGAATCGAACTATTTTTGAAGATTTCCTATTTAATTTCTTTCTAAGGTGTGGGTGTCAATAGAAAGAAGACTCACATTACAACCACACCCATATTTCAAAAGTTCTAAATGTACATGAGATTTATCTTTCGCATCGAACAATGTTCTGCACCAATGCATCATTTCCAGGCATAAATAGTAGAGATGAGAACAATATTCTTCTGTTCAGAGGAGGATCAATTTAAGCAAACGTTACATCAAAGATATGACATGTGGAAAGAGAAAGAAAGTGGTTCTATTAATTATTCTCTCGTCGTCTGCTTTTCGGTGAAAGAAAGCAAGTGGAAGACGTAGCCAATCAAGATTGTTAAGGTAACGCAAATAAATATTGTTACATATTTTTTTCAAAGAAATCTCAAATTCATTGACAGCAGCTTCTATGAATCTGATACATTTTAATAAAACTGAAGAGAGAACCCGCATAGGAAACAAACCTCGTCTATGTCACCTTCATCATAAAATGGTGTTCATGCGTAGTTAATCACTCAGGATAGAATCTGACTGTGATTATGAGAGAAAGTTGCATGTGTATGTATATGTGCGCCTAGAAGTCCATGCAAAAAAAATACAGTTTTTCGCTTTTTTATTTTTAAGGATTAGTTTTCTTTCTTAAGATATATTGCACGTTTATTTGTACACTTGCTAGATATGAGAAGAGACCGTCCATTGATTGATACGCTTGAAATAATTATACTGCCTTAGAAAATCATTTTCTACAACTCAGTTCGAGTCATCACTTGAGTGATATCTGGGAATTATTTTCATTCTTTTCTTTTACTTATATATACATTATAAAGTTTCTTGAACTGTCAATAGCTACGTTTTTCTCTCAAATGAACCATAAAAGATGAGTACAAAATTGTTCTCAAATTGTACCACAAATTGAGAACAAGATGCAACTGTCACCGTCGAACAACTCAAAGCATCATTTGATGTATTCCTTTCCGAAATAAAGCAATCTAATAATTCCCTTGTGAATATTACATTTATCAAAAAAAATCGTTCCCATATTCGTTCAGTTTTCATCTCAGAATAAACACCTTGCCGATCCTGGACTTATTATACATCCGCTCTTTATCATCCTACGTGATTGTGTCATTATCGATTATCTTCATAGAAGACAATATACAGATATTGCATGCAAATTGTTACGTGATCTGTCAGCATTATTTGCAAATATCAGCAAACATATCAATAATACAAATGCTCACCTAGTTAAACAATTTCTTTTCCATTAACCGTTAATTGATGAACTTGCCAATTGTCTCAACGCGATTGGTACCGACGGCAAATACTTAAATGATTCTCTTCTAAGTTCGATTCATATCCTACTAATGGCATTTCAATATTTCGAAAGACTACAAAGCATAATAAAAGAATATTCATCAACTAGAACATTAATTTTAGCTGTTTCTAAATGTTTATGTTCTTCATATTCTATTGAAATGATAAAAAAATTGAAACATAATTTTTCACAAGAACTCAATCAACGACAAATATTGATTCTTAGTACAGGTACATTGTATGTCAAAAATTATTCAGATAACCGTGATTCAGAACTTTTTCTTCAAATACCACGAAAATTACTAAGTCCTTTTACTCAATGAATGATAAATTGTTCTGCAGATTTAATTATACATTGCTCTAAAACGGTTGGAGCTATGATACGTCATTTAACCTATTCGCTTATTCGTCCTCTCGAATGGGAAACTGTCAATATTTCAAGTAAAGAATTTAACGATGATTATTATAAATTTGTTTCTCATTGGACATCATTTTTGTCATCGATGCTACAACATTCATCTAATGATTCGAATGTTATTTCGATAAAAAGATTTATCATACAACACTTATATGATTTTACATTGATTCCAAACCTATTAACTTTTATGAAAACTATACCGAATTTAGTTTCAATGCTACTTCGAATGACCGATGTTCAACAAGATGAAACACAATTGAATATCTATCGTTGTTTGGGTAAATTGATGCCAAAAGCAGATATTAAAACGATGGAAACTCCCAGTAAACTTGCGTCTATATACCTTAAATTTCTTACAAATACAATTGATGATCCGAAGAAAATGGAACGCTTCTATAGTATATTACAAAGTTTGAAAAGTGAGTTATATTTTGCTTTTATCAATTTCTTCATACGAGTCCTTTTATTTTTCGTTAGATTTTGTTCAACATGATCAAGTCAAAGTCGAATTAATAAAACAAAATGTATTTTCCATATTTATGCGATGTATCACTGAAACTAAATCTGATCTGATTAAAGTACAAACAATAGTTCTCGAAATTCTTCTTGCATTTTCGTTCAATAATGATGCTTTAACGATTCTCAGAAAGGATACAGATTTTATGACACAAATTCGAAATCTAGCAAGTAATACTAATTTGGATAAATCAAATTTACAACGAGCTGCTGAAGGTCTTCTTTGAAAATTAGACAAAGAAGGTGAAACTGTTGCTAAATCGACAACTTTAAAATCGTATCAATATGATATTATGATAAGTTATTCATATAGCGATCGACAATTATGTTATCAAATTCATGAAAGACTTTTCGAGATTGATTTCATGTTTTGATTGATCGTGATCAGATGCATGAAGCTACAATGATTGAAATGGCAGAAGCTATTGAAAATTTAGAATTTGTTCTCATATGTATGTCCGATATATACAAACAAAATGTCTATTATCAATCAGAAGCACATTGTACATTTGAACGACGTTGTCGTTTGATTCCACTGATTATGAAATCTCATTATAAACTCGATGAATGACCCAGTATTATGATGAGCGGAAGAGGCTACGTAGGTTTCGTCAAGAACGAATTTAAATTGGTGTATGATAAATTAACAAAGGAAATAGATCAGCATCGTCAAATGAAATCTAGTCATTCAAAGATAGAATCTATAGAGCAAAGACCAGCAAGGTATATCTCCCAACATCTCTTAACTCATTGAAGAAACTGACACTTATCGGGCAACCTCTTATCGTGTAAGTTTTTTTATCAACCTCATAAGTGAAGAAGTCATCAAACTAAAAGTTGTTTTCGATACTAGTTCAACCGAAAATAAGTGTGTCACATGAAACGAAATACTTATGAAAATGTTATCTAAGAAAAACTTTCTCTTCAAATGTAGAAAATATTTTTTTGACTGATGATAAGATTATGAGAAATATTAGTCGATTGTGCCTTCATCGATACAAATTACCTCATGATTTCTAGTTGAACCTAAAGGAGACTAAGAAGTATTTTTCTCATTTCATAATTCTACAATAGAATAAAGGAATAATCAGAAGCTATCAATTTTACAGACAATCTATGACAGAAAATAAATACGAGTAAAAGGATTCTTTTCAAATTTTTCTATCCTATTTTATTTATTTATACAGCGAACTGCCCCACTGCCTTACTCATTGGACAAATTATCATGTTCAATCATTCTTTCTAACAAACGGACTTGATAGTATCATGCTTTTCTTATACCCACTTCTGGATGGCCATTGTCGTCTAGAACTGTACGAAATGTGTATGATGAATCGTGAGTCAATGTATCAATCATTGAAAGCTGAATTAGCCATTATAGATCATATGCCATTGTCCATTAGTGATTATCTGATTACGATCTGCAATCTTATGTAACTTGATTGACATCCATTTTATATGTGAATAAACGATGAATATGAGAAGGTATTGATCTCGAGAACATCAATTGTGCACAATAGTATTTAGGACATACCAAAACTAGCGATCAAGATACTTCAAATCCTTATAAAAATCTTAAAGAAACTTTCTCTCTATATGGAATGATAGCAACCATGAAGCTCTTTTCTGTGCCGCTATATTATTTTTCAACTAATATCGTATTAATAAAATTTCAATAGGACCTGTTTGGTTGTGATGTGTGATGGTTATATTAGTTCATATTTATCTTCGATAGATATCCTCTTTATTTTTCTCTTCTATAATGCGTACCTGTCTATATATATATTAGAACATACAAAAAGTAGCTGTAGCGAAACGAAAATCAAATGCAGAAACAAGTAGTTCAAGCTTCGTTTTCCAGCTCTTATTGATCTTAAGAAAACCATTTCGACCATCTTTCAACTGTCCTACGAGAGGGAGCTTCGTCACTAGAAACAGAACACAATTGATCATGAAAAACTCTTTCTTGAATATAAAGTACAATTTGCATTTTAATGAAGAAGTAAAAATTTTTCTTATTCATTCAAAATGAAGATGAACAGTAGCGAGACGTAATCTAAATTCATTTCTTTAAGTTTTTGAGCACCTACTAATGAACTACCAATGCAAACATCGCGAACCAGACATGTGTGTAAAAAGTTAGGCATTAAAAGGGCCGAGAAAAAAGAATAAAGACAAGAGGTGAAAAGACCAAACAGAAAATCAAGCAGAGAATACATATCGACGGCAATATGAACTGATGTAACCGTCACATATCATAACCAAATAAGTTTTATTAAAATTTTATTAATGTGATATTAGTTGAAGAATAATATAAGAGTACAGAAAAATAGAATGTTGTTTATACCATCAATCCATATAGACAGAAAACTTTTTTTTAAAAATATTAAAGTACCTCGGCCACTAGTTTTGGGATATTCTGAGTATTTGAAACAAAGTATATGAGATCGTTCAAGACTTTTTAGACACATAAGATAGATTGTGTCTGAGAAAAAAATATCCTATGGCTATAATCGAGCCATTTTTTGGGTGTGGCTACGATTGTCAAATAGATTGAAATGCGTACATTATCCATGGATAATTGCTCCATTAGTCATCGCTGTAAAGTCTTCGTTGAACACATCCTGAAACGATGACCTGATGCGCAGAGAAAATACAATACTGCAAATATTGTTTTGTCTAAAGAAAGATAAGATTATGACTGTGACTCAGTCTTAACAAAAATTAATATATTTGTTAATGTTTACAAGTTCATGTTTTGGTTTAACATGAACAGTAAAATGAATATCATTATGTTCCAATCATCGATAGTGCCTATACTAAGACTTAGCTAATAGATCATTAATTATTAATGGCACAAAACTTTTGCCATATTCTTCCAATTCGATGAAATCTATTGATTATTATAGCTTAGACTGGCTTGCTATTACCATACAATAACATTAGTTGATGTTCATTATGAAAGTTCATATGTACTAATATTCAATTTATATAAAATGTTTCTCTTTTAATTTCAACAAATTCAAAAACATAAATCTTTATATTTAATAAATCTGAAAGATTTATGTTCAATTGAAAACCGTTGATCTATATTCAAGTGCCTTCAATGATATTTATACATGATACTGATGATGATGAAATAAGAACCAAAAAAAAGACAATGATTTCTGGAATATGACCACTTTTTGCATATTCTCTTTTCTTAAATGTCATGACAATATACTTTGTCGAAAATACTCAAAATTTTGTAATTTATAAACAAAATGCTGTTCATTTTGTGATTGATCTTCGAAATCTAAAACAGTTAAGATATATTTCTTTACATGCTAAAGAGTACAACACTAGAATGCTGCATTTTAATGTTTCTATTTCTAATTTTGTTAATATTATGCATAGTTCATCTTTCGCAAATTAGTCTTTATTTTCTGTAAAATTCAAAGAATAACAAATGCAAATGTGTCGTTTTCCTAAGCTAATATTGTGCTTACATCGATAAAAGTCAAAAGATTATCATAAGTCTTAAGTTTGTAAGTATTAATCACCAATTCCAACGTATGCTCGAATTTTTTCTGTGGCAAGGTCAGTTGCTTTTGCAACTACTTGCTGCGTTATTTTTTTCTTGATTTCTGCTTGGGCAGCATTGAATTTTTTGCCCATATACACAGCAGTTGTTTCAGGAACGAAACGAAGTACGAGTTGTACTGTACCACCATCTCCACCGTTTTCAGTGAGCATTGATACGGTTGCTATATGAAGCCATTCTTTGTTCAAATTCGTATCATATTGACCGCCCTGTTCATCGTCTAGTAAACTTAAAGTTCCATGAGCCAATAGATCGTCTTTATCATAATCTGCATCCCATATTTGAACGTATAAAGCTTCTAATTTCTGTGGCACAGGAAATACAAATTTCTCATTGAAAATAGGATTGGAACCATTGTGAATCTGTGTTTTCTGATATGTTTCCGTTTGTTCTTTCTTCTTATCAGATTTCGTATCGCTTCCCATCGGAAGAGGTTCAATTGAAACAACCGCATAACAATCGTTCTCACCGAACCAATCACTTTTGACTAAATTATTTGCCTTGAGTACAGTTACGGAGAGAAGACCTTTAAGACGTTCAGGCGAAGAAGATGAAGAAGCCATTGTGAAGTGATAATTATCGTCTGTCGAAATAAATCAGATTGATAGTGAAATAAAGCTGGTTTTTTCTATATAGGTAAACCAAACATATATGATTTTGATTGCCTTGTGCATCTTTTTATATTATTGCATGCATCATTGCATAGCCAATAGTATGTATTTTTTCAACGATGAATACATCGTATTGACGCTTGTGTTTATTTGCTTCAAATATTTCTAGTAGTCAATAATATACATCCGAGTCATTAGATGATGATTCATTCTTTGCTAGTCTCATATTTTTTTTTATATATATACTATTTATCACGCTTTTCAAAAACAAATATGTAGGCAGAAAACCTAACAATAAAAGAAATAACAAGGTTATTATCAAGAATAGATGCATGACATTAGATAATGGACCAAAATGTTCATACTGCTATAATAGATACTATAGGTAAAATTTAACTTTCGAAAATTGAGTAATTTCAAACTTGAAAAAGTGAAATGAGAAGACACCAATAGCTAGAGAATTAAAAATGATAATCATCTTATTAGTTCACTTAGTCTCGATAAAAATTGAAATATTCAATTCTAATTGATAGAGTAGCATCATATTTTGTCGTTGCAAATTAAGTTTCTGTCAAGATTGGATTATATTCGAACACAATACATAAAATATATTATGTAATTCTTTCAATTGTAAGAATATGAAATCTGTTTGAACAAAAGAATGAGAAATCAAAGCATAATATTGATACTTGTCAAAATTATTTTCTTTCATATTTTAATGATATACTAAAAAATAATCATATGAATATGTCTGTACTTGTTATTTTGCATACCATTTTCACACGAGTTAAATAATCATAAAATCATAAAATAATTTAAATGATCAGTTAATGATCAAGTAGGCTTGTTAATAAATTTAAAAGTTAGTAAACAAAATGTACTAACAGTCAGATGAATCAAAAGATAAATATAGAAATTGAAATGCGTTATAGTATGATTTGCGTTTTTTTTCTCCCCCTTTCCTTCTTTTCTTGTACTGTGTAGCACAAATGATTTATGCGATATACATATCTGTACACTTTGCAACTATTCTTTCCTGCAACTTTAGTTCAGTATCAACGAGTAAATAAAAATAGACGTGATAGAAATTGCTCAATATGAAAGTGGTGTATAGGACCAAGAGATTGTGGAAGAAAATTGTACGATAAATGATAATGAATGACCTTTAAAAAAAACTTAACACCATGAGGTTAACGAGGTTATATTTAATAATGCTAATGAATAGTCAAAGCGCTGTAGGAATTATAAAAAGAGAAATAAGAACTGTTTTATTAAAGATGTAACCAAGCCAAGCGTCATGAACATCAATATAGAACAATTATTCGTCTATTACATCATGCAGACAGTAATTAAGTTATTGTTTATAAAACTGAAACTAGATACGATGATCATTATGATAAACTTTGTAGAATTGATGAAAATGTAAAAACAAAAAAGATTCATACAAAAAATATGTCATGATGGTATAATAAAGTTATAACAAATCGTTCGAGCATTTCAAACCGGAAATGTAAGAACTACATATATGCAAATATGTCATTACTAGTAGTAGGACTATTGGTTTAAAATATTGTCAACTACTACCAACAGAAAAAGACAACTTCATTAGGAGAGAAAGAAATGAGGTGTATTTTTTATTTAAATCATTTTTCTTATACTTAATTATACTTAATATGGATAGAAAAATTTTTTCTGCTGATAAAATCTTTATTTTTCATTGACCAAATTTGTATGTTCTTACTGATCAAATTTATATTCAGTTTTTGCTTGTTTTATAAGTATATAGAAGAAACTGATCGTTTCGTAATTAAAATACTGATAATTTCAGTAATACCCATCATTTGATTTATTTTACTGACCACTTCAATCGGTGCCTTAAATAATGAATTTGGTAGAACATCTTCAAGGGCTAAGATTAAAAATTGAATATATTTCAATGTAGAAAAAGGCTATTTTAGCACTCTTCACATTACGTCAATATCAAACTTCTTTTGATGTAGATACATAGAACGAATATTATTGTAATATCAATCAAACATTAGTCCAATAAACTAACGGATGCAATTGTAGTCATTGATCTTGCTGCAATCGAAATAGCAATAAAGTATATTATCATCTTATGTTTTATACAAAGTATCGTTTTTGTGTATTGTGAATTTGAATAATTATTGTCAAAAAAGTTAAAATGTTCAAGGTACTATTTTAACTAATCGAATCACTTTTCTAAGTGATATACCATTTTAGTTATTTATGTTCAGTCTAGAAATCTCAAGGTTAATTTTTATTCAAGTAGATAATTCACTATGTTACACTTCTCATATTGGAGCATCTTTTATCTTTTTTTTATGACTTGAGTGATTCTGATAATAAACTCTAATTTCATAGTTTCTAATCAATTGCAACTACTTGATATTTTATAGTTAGTGATGATAATATAATTGAGATCGAATATGTGACACATTTTTCTTTCTAAGTTATTATAAGTTTTGTTATTAATCCAGATTCATCAGATACTTAAGAAAAGACAATTGAGTTTGTATCATCACAATTATCAAAAGCATCAAGTGGCGTAATTATTGCTAGTTATTCATCAACATCATCAAGTATTGAATCAAGACGTCGTTAATAAACCTAGCATTGTCGAAATGGAAATATTCGATCAGTACTTGAGGAACGATTTTTGTCGATCAGCCATTGTAGTACATATGAAGCAACCTACATTTGGGTAAATGAATATTATATTGCCATAGTTCACAAGTACAATATCAAGACAACAATCAATCACGAGTAACTGATACATCTAATCAGAATATTGTTTCATAGATGCATGAAAAATGAAAAGTAAAGAAAATCATCAATAATAAATTAATTGATGAGGTCAGATATCTTTGATTTTAACAATCCAAATATTGATACAGTTGCATGTATTTAACAAGATAATTTCATGAAGATATTAGAAATATGCACAAAATGATCGATAAATAGTTAATTGATCGAACTAATGAACTTCAATTATGTATTTTAGTCGATCAAATCATATCGAAGCAAGAGTGATAAATTTAATGAGTTGTTCTAAAGTTTAACTATTACATACTTCGATTATACCGATGAGTTTGACAAACAAAAACAAGCATATAAATGATGTGTTTATTACAACTAGAAGTCACATTATGTCCGTATGTATTTATTTACCAATCAGTATTGTTCCCGACTTAAAATAAATTAATATACTACTCTTGATATTAAATAATCTGAGTTCATGTTTTGACTAACACAATGCACAAATTAAAATGTCTGATATTTTGAGTAAATTAATGATTTATATTAATAAAAACTAATTGTATTGACAAGCCAAATATTATATTGACAATTGTAATCAAGAACTACAAAAAACCTAGCAATATCAATACCATAGTTCTTGTTTTTATTTCTAAATAAAAATAGTTTGAGTACATCATGGAAATGCATTATGTATTTGAATCTCATTTTTGCAGATATAAACTTTAGGATAATTCTATTACTTCTTTATTAAAATAAGCTAGTTGTCGACAAACTTTAAATACACAAAAACAAAAGCTCTTTAAATATCTATAAAACCAATGCGCAATACAATGGACGGAACAATACAAACAACAACGATCATCATAGAATACTGTTTTGACGTAATATAATAAATCAATTTCGACAGTTAATTACTTCAACAAGCATAAGATAATCATGTTTTGTTACTAAACAAATATATACGTATGATGATAATTAAACTTCCGTTGATGGATATGATATTCGTTGAACGTCGGGTTTCATATTTATATGAATATTGTTTTCCTTTTTGTTTAAAAAATTATTAAACATTGATTGCGATGATCTTGATGATGTTTGATTTTTTTTATTAAAATTATCTCGTTCCATTGCATAGAATGCTTTATGTTTATATAACCAAAACCATATAGCTATACCAATAAGAAAAAGAATACTTGAACTAAGTAAAAAAATTGGTATAAAAACTTTTTGAAATTGTTCAAATTGTTTATCTATAATATTAGATCTATTAATAAATGAATTATTATAATTTTCATTAATTATAATATGATTTGATGGTTGATATTGACCAGACATATAAGTTTGTTCACTATGAGAATTTCTTTCTGATAAATAATGATCCAGTGCACAGCAATAATGATATGTATTTGTTTCACAACAAAAATATTGAATAAAATTTTGCACTGGACAAACAAAACCTATAAAATTAAAATAAAAAACAGAAATTTTTTGCCATTGATGTTAGAAAACGAACCATTATTCCAAATGCCATTTATATCAATAAATCCACTACAGATAGTATTCGGTGATTTACCATGTGGTACTATTATTGTCGAACTTGTAGTTGTAGTCGTAATCATAGTAGTTCTTGCCATTATCGTTCAATCTATGAAGCATTGTAATAGTAAAACAATTAGCATGAAGAAAGAATAAATGCTGATGAGATATTGAAGAAAATAAAGGATATATTAATCTTCAATATGCGTTTCTATTCGATGATGAAGACAAGCAAAAAAACGATGAATGACAGATGATGAACAAGATAAAGGAGAAAATCTCATCTGTTTAGCTGATATTTCTCTCATATGGAGACTGATGACATTCTTATTCTATAATAGCATACAGTCAGTATTATATATCGATAAATATTCTTCTTTCATTAAAGCTGCAAGAGAACTGTCATAGATGTTTATCGCCTTAATAGTACTAATAGAATCAATCAAACTATACGTTGTTATATTTATCGATGATGTCATGAAATAGATTTATTAGATTCATAATATATAGTGATTACGTAGAAATACTTTTTCCGTTCAATCCATTTTACACTAGTGAACAAAAGACTTCGCGCCAATCGATCTCGATCATTATATGTATTACAGGTCTGAAAATTTGTGTACACGGTTTTTTCTAAGAATATACATCATTGACATTGCGGAGCTTTTATTTCTTAATTACGAAAAGATAAAGATTTCAGTAATTTTTAATATTTTTTTTAAAGTAGCTGAACTATCATCTACGATCTTTCTTCACTCAAAAGATAAGTTCATATTTGCTTGAAGATTGAGGTTTCTAGATTCTTGTAATGAAAATAGATTATCGTCTATTTTCCATTTCCTTTTAGTGCTGGATTCACTTCTGAAACACTGATAGGTAGAAAAAATTTCTCAAATAGTTTGAACTCGTTTCATTGAACTATCACTAAGTTATTAACTACTAAAGGGCAGTAAATGGTTTTCCTTCCACATCAATGATTACAGTATAATAAACATTGTCTTTGACAAGATTGATGAACTTCAATGAAATAAGAAATAAAAATTGTTGAAAAATAGCATTACATATTGAAGAGTAACTTGATAAAGAATACTTCTTCTTTCCACAATTGTAAGATTGACAACAAAAACAGATGCTATTCATCATAGTTTCCTTTGTAATTCAATAATCACAACTCTGCAATGCCAATGACTTACTTTTTTGGTAAAGTAGGTGTGCAAAAATTTTTAAATCTCCACTACGTAAAATGGTCGAGATTGACTGAGATGGAAACTTTTGCCCATCATTTTATATTAATCAAAAATATTTTATTGTATCATATTAATTACATCAGTCTACCAGTATTCATGTGCAAACAAAATTCTATCTACTTATTTTTATACAAAATTATTACAAAAAAAACAAGAATGCATATAGTTTCAATAGCAAAATAATTATTGTTTTGTTCGACAAACATTGTGTGCTAGAGTTATGTCTAGAAATTTGTCTTATATATATTATTAGCTTGATCATCATTATTTATTTCTGATGAATTTGTAAACGCTGGATTATCATGAGTAGTAGATAGTAAATTATTTGGTGGGTATATAACAGTGCCATTAGGTGTCCCTGTATCATGTTCTGTATTTGCAGATAGTAACATTCGTCGAACAGTATCTGGATCATTTATATTAGCAACTGCAGTTGTAGTTTCTTGATTTACAGGTGCATTAAGTTCTTTACGTGATAAATGTTGTACAACAGCACAACCAATCGAATCACCAAATACATTGATTGCAGTACGAAATCGGTCGCTAACAATAACAAAAGAAAAAAAGATTTATTAACACAACGAGATTATAATAAAAAAAAAAGATAAATATTTTTTTTATCAACTTACAGAAGCCAATCAACAGCATAGATAATTCTAACGTCTTCAGCTGGTAAGCCAAGTGCATTGAGAACAATAACCATAGTAACAAGACCAGCTTGGGGTATACTTGCAGCACCAATCGATGCTAACGTTGCTGTCAAACTAAATAATTAACACATATCTATCTATGTATCTAAATTTGATTGAATCTTTTTCTACCTCGTTACAATAATTTTCACAGCATCTAATGGAATTCCCCTAAGTTGAGCAATATAAATAGCTGCTACTGCTTCATATAATGCTGTTCCATCCATATTTACTGTTGCTCCAACAGGTAAGACAAAACGTGAAATTCTTGGATCAATATGATTTTTTTCTTCAACACATCGAAACGTTACAGGTAATGTTGCTGATGAACTAGCCGTTCCAAAAGCTGTTACTAATGCTTGACTCATTCCACGTATATATTTAAAACTGTTTATACGTGTAATAATAAAAAGAATTAGAGGTAAAATAATAAAACCATGTATAAATAAACCAACTAAAACTGTCGCCATATAAAGACCTAATGAACCAAGAAAATCTCGAAGATCATCCATGTCAAGTATTTTTGCAACAATAAGGAAAAAAATACCAATAGGACTATATAACATAGCAATACGTACAAGTTGCATAACAACTTCAAGCATTGCTTCAAAAAAATGTTTTAATATAATTGCTTTTTGTTTTAAACGACTAATAAGTATACCGAATACTATACAAAAAAGAAGTAAACCAAGTACATTAATATTATCACGTTTGACTACTGTTGCCTTGTAAATAGTTTTGTTATAACCTAAATATGTTTATATATTAATGAAATTTATTATTATTATTATTTAGAAATCTAAAATAATATTACTTGTTCCATTAGGACCAGCAATTACTGTTCTATTAACTTTAAGATCAGTAGCAAACTAAGCAATGCAAATAATTTTATTAATTATTGTTTTTATAAAAATACTTACTGAACGAAATGCGGCTTCCATAATATTATCAGGAAATAGATTTCTAAATATTATTATAAGCAAAAAAGTATTTGTTTTTTTTTCTTATTATTATTATTTATTTTTACCTGAATAAATCTAATACTGTATCAACTGTTCGACCTTCAGCTGCTTTCGAATCAGGTTTAATTTGTACTGTACCAACACGTAATCCCGGTCGTATAGTTAAAACAAGAATAATACCAACAATAGCTGCAATCAATGTTGTTGCTAAATAATATATAATTGCTCGAACACCCATTTTTCCTGCAGATTGTGCATCAAGTTGAGCTAATGATGAAATAATACTTGAAACAATTAATGGAAGTATAAGCATTTTAAGTATATTGACAAAGATTTGGCCGGGAAAATCGATGTGAATTATATCTTCTTTGGTAATACGACATCCATCAATGCGATCGTCTATAATCAAACATAAGTTTTTTGTATCATGTGAAAAATAAATTTTCAAATTCTTTTTTTCTATTGAAAAATTTTTGATAAATTCTATTTTTAGTCATTTCACCTGTAGAACATTTAAGACTTCGAAGAGCAACTCCGATAATAATACCAAGTATAACAGCAGCAATTGTTGCTATTAATAAAGCTTGTTCTTTTAGATTTTTTTTTGTACAACATCGTCGACAACAGTTGACTTTTCTAGTGATTGTCGTCTGTCTATCTGTCAAAACATTAACAATATGATGTGACGATCCTCTATGAACAGAACTCGAACGTGATTCATTTTGGTCTGATATAATTTGATCAGTTGTATCAGATCTGATTCTTGATGGTATTATTGATGTCACTTTGTTCTTGGAGAAATACATGACCTATTATAAAATTAAATATTTAACATGATTGTGATAAAGAAAGAAAAATTAGTTCGTACAAGATTTAGATTTGTCTTACCTCAATGTTTTCAATAGGATATAACTATATGTTTAGTTATATACATTTAAACGATTGTAAATCAATATTATTTTATGATATATATATATATATATATATATATAATGTCTATATTGACAAACGAGGAAGAAGAATTATATAGAGTGAATAGGTATACAGAGAATATTTACTTCCGAAAACAGTGAAAACGAAAAAGATATCAATATACAAACCTTTGTTAAAAGCAAATGCTTATTATTTATTGATCTTCGCAAACTTTTGTAATCCACTCAAAACTCTAATCCTTATCATACTTCTTACTCATATCTGACCTGATTGTTTTTTTTCGTCGTCTATTATTAAACAGCGTCATTTGTCTAAAGTCATGAAAATAATACAAAAACAGTAGTGAAATCGATTTATTATTTTATGCGAAAAGAATTCTCTTTTTTGTTAGTTGATAAAAACAACAACTTTATTGTTTGAAACTTCTGTTTGCTACAGAAGATTAGAAAGTTTAAAGTTATATTAACAAACCTTCTAAATAAAACAAACGTAAAATCAATTTTGATATCCTCTAGCAATATTCTTTACTCGTATACTGCGATACCCATAGAGGTTGATATTCATAGTACATGTGCTAGATGTCGAGATCAGAGCTGTCGGTCTGGTTCGTACGTTTTAGAAATAAAATATTGACGTATTGCCTTACTTTTCTAGTGTAATTTGACAAATTCATTCGATGCTAGCAACAAATGCTTGAACAGAATGTCAATGTAGTGCTGTAAGATTTTTATTAACTGTCAGGAGAACTTATTTAGATTCGAAACAATTAGAAGACGAATTTTGCGCTCGTGTTGTTGCGAAAATTGATTCTGAAACGTGAATGTCCTTGTTCGTTATTATAAGTATCACTGATACCCTACTTTGTTGTTCTGCATTTTCGTTAACCTTTTCTTTGTAGTTTTAATCAAATGTTGTTTGTTCTATCATGATCGTGTTTTTTCAATCTTTCAAAACAGAACTAATATAATCAAAAACATTGTTTTAATTGGTTACTTCATACAAGAATTTATTATTATTCTATTTTGCTAGAAAGAAATTAAATAACTTAAACTAGAACTATATATTAATACCGACTTCTAGAATTAACTGTATTGGCAAAATCAGAAACATCTTTCAGCTTGCTGAGAGTTTTGACCGAGATCAACTCTAAATTAAAATTTTAGCTCTCTCTACATATCATATGTTACGTAACTACATGTAATGCCAATATTACTAAAACGTTTTCATTATTTTAAGAAACTTATTTTTATACTTCATAAATGACACCATATAAAAGGTACTGCTTGAAGGATACCGGTTGAAAAAATTTTATCAAGATCATAAAAAGGCTTTTGTGATATTTGCGCATTTTCTTATCATAAGATTTATGAGATTTTTCTGAATAATAAATAAGAAGACCTTGAGAAGCTGTCTTAACTTTGATCTTAGAAAAGCTAACGGGTGGACCATAATAAATGTCCCAATTTTGCATTTTATTTTTCCACAACTTAATACGTTGTATTAGAAAAACAAAACATACCACAGGATGCAGCGTAAAAAGCTCTACAATTTATACAAGGCAGCTTTTCCTACAGTTACACTTTTTGCTTTCAAAACCGGTAAAATATAGAGCGATCAAATTTTGACTGTGCGAAAATGATTTTTTTTTTGGTAAAAGATGAATTCGTTTTTTCTCGTTTCATCTTTTTATTACCTGATATCTTCTATTTAAAAAGAAAACAAAACATACCATTAGATGAAACAGGAAAAGCTCTACAATTTATACAAGACAGCTGTTCTTACAGTTGTACTTTTTGCTTTCAAAACTATCAAAAATTCTGAGCGATTAGATTTTGGTGCTGCGAAAAAGTCATTTTTCAATATACGACCAATTTGTTTTTTTCTTACTTATCATCTGATGTGTTTTATTAAAAAGAAATAAAATACATCACAAGATGCAGCTTGACAAGCTCTACAATTTATAGAAGACTGTTTTTTTTATAGGTGCACTTTTTGTTTTCAAAATCAGCTAAGCAATCAAATTTTGACCACGCGAAAACAGTATTTTTTTTTCTACGAGATAGATTGTTTTTTTCTTATTTCATCTTTTTATCACCTGATATCTCTTATTAAAAAACAGCAAAATATATCACTAGATGCAGCGAGAAAAGCTCTACATTTTGCATTCGACAGCTTATTATAATCGTTTTGTATAAAAGCAAAATTCTCTGCGATCAATTTTCGCACAGTCGAAATTTAACCGCTCCAAATTTTGATCACTTGTAAAGTAAAAAGTGCAACTATAAAAAAAAGCGGTCTTATGTAAATTGTAGAGCTTTTCACGCTGCATGTTATGGTATATTTTGTTTTTTTAATACAACGTATTAAGTTGTGGAAAAATGAAATGCAAAAGTGGGACATTTATTATGGCCCACCCGTTATTATTAGGAATTATACAAGATTTTCTTTTTATCATAAAAAGAATGTTTGATCTCATTTTCCTCACTCAGATTTTATTAAGATTTCCTGTTTTATAGAGTAAATATCGTTATTATCTTGAACTACAGTGTAGTTCATCTTAATTTCATTGACTGCATTCGATAGGTGCAATTATTACTAACTAGAGAACATTTGTCGATGTGGATTCGTTTTTCGGCCAGAAGTTAATGTATTTTCTAGAATTTAATGAACTATGTCTACCATAAAAAGAGTTCGTTCATAAGACCTGCTTCTGACGACGTTGAACAGTTGCAGTGAATTTTTCACTGTAGAATCATACATTTGCAACAAGACCAGATTTTTCATAGATCGCGTATATAGCATGCATTTTTTGAAAGCTTCATAAATCGTAGAAACTTAGTCCAAAAATCCTAAAATTTTTTATGCAAATCAGTTTAATTGACATCCTCGGGGTGGGCAAAGTTTCAGATCAAAGTGTGAAAATCTGCACTTACTGCAAATGTGGAATCCTACAGCAAAAATTCTGTGCCATCGTTCAATCTTCTGAGCAGCAGGCTATGAGGATGGACTCTTATTTGAAATTGTTTATTTGTTTTTTTTTTACATTATATGGCAGATCAAATTCAATAGAAATAAAATGTATGATTTTTTCAATCAGCCAAGTATATAGAAACTGACAAGCTGGAGAAAATATTCTAGAAATCTCAGTTAAATTATATATGAGTCTTATAACATTGTATTAGATCTGTGATTAGTATGATACAAGATGTGTACGATATCATTTTATCAAAAATTCTTCCTTTGATATTAGCATATAAAAATGTACATGAGCGTATAGACAGATTGTCTGACATGAGAAGATCGATAAAATAACATGTGTTGAAAGAAAAAGTAATAATAAGCCGTCTATCAATATTCTTATATCTGAACTTCATCTTGATCTGTCGGTTGCTACAATCAATCGAAGTTTTTTTCGTATTCTATGAAATAGTTAACACGATATGAATATTGATTATTGAATCTATTCTGTCGTTTCCTAAACGCTTATTGAGTTACTTTTGCTTGTTTAATAAAAAAACAATTATCAACCAACTCGTTCTAGAATAATGAGAGTCAGTGGACTTTTCATAAAACTCATTTATATCTTTTACGGTTTTTGCACATTACTTCCACTAGAGAAAAAGATGTTGAACAATTTTTTTCTATTGGTAGTAGTATAGACAAGCGTTAGACAGTTATGCAAAAAGTAAACATTCAATGATAATAAACGATTGATTTAACGAATATAGATTTTCCAATTTCTGTTGATTTTTCAAATAAGTAAAACAAAAAAATCTTTGTTATTTTGACATTACTTCAAGATATCTAGTGTGTGCACTACAAGCAACAATCTTTATAAATTGAGAAACATGTGAGGAATGATTATATCAAATCTGTAATGTAATGTTCGTTAATTTTAAATTAATGAAATTGAATCTTCTATAAGAAAATAAAGGTTCATAATTCTTTGTAACTTATGATAAAAATATCAGTCCGAATCGAAATCAGTTTCTATGTTTTGATATTGCAGGTTTCAACTAGGAATTTTCTTATGAAAAATATATAACAATCATGAAAAAAAAATTTATTGTCATACAGTTAAAATTATCCGACTGCTGTCACAGTGCGCAGTGTATCAAAATAAATATCGGATATTTCTAAAGTATGATGATTATTCATATAATAAAGAATTAGAAAATATATCTACTCAACTCAGTAAAGGTATTCAAAATAGTACAATGAAAAATAGTTTAGCAAATCTGTCACTAAGTATTATGAAGAAAGGTCTTCAGACGATTAACAGCATTTGATTTCATCTTGTATCCAGTCTTAAAGGATCGATAGATTACAATATCCTTCAAAGATGATGATTTTAAATGGTATTTCATTGATACCAACATAAAGCAGGTGTATTTAGGAAGTTGTATGTCACAGAGATACTGAACTTTTGTGCATAAGCTAGTCTCGTCGAGATCTATACAGAGAAAATAAGTCAATATCTCGATCACATCTTGTCGTCAGCATGAACTTTTAGAAGTTTGTTCTAATCTATAGATGCTCTAGCACTGAACAAAATATGAATTCAACATTTTTTTCATCATCTTAAGATTTTCCTTCGTTAGCTAATTCTTGTCATCAGAAAAAAAAGAACACGATTTTCATTCAATTCTTCAATGTGATCGATATAAGATTAAACAATAACAATAATGTTTTTTTTTATAAAATTTTTAATTTACATAATCAAATTTACATGCACTATAAATTAAAAAATCTTCCGTGTTGCTTTCAATCTATATAAAATATTACGATTCATTATGATTAATGATTTAAGGCGAATGTTACTATGTTAATTGATATACCGTTGACAGTATTTGAATGACAGCCATATTTGTTTATTATTTGTTTATCTTTTTTAGACAGCTGAATTCTATCTTTCATGTATCTTCTACAATTATTATCTGATCAAAATGTATGATTTATAAATAATTTTGACACAATATTTTTTCATCGCCATTTTAATCTTCTGTTAAATAATAGATGTCGTTAATAAAAATAAATGATATTTATTGATTAATCATCTTTCATAAAAGCTAATAATAAATTAAAAAACAAGAAAAAGAAAATATAAAAATAAATATTATCATCAAATGTCAAACCAGTAATATTTCGAGATGAATCATCTTGATTCTTACTAGATATTCTATCATCCTTTGAGATTTGCGTGTTGATATTTAATTAAATTTTTATATTAAATACTTTCTTCAATAATCATGTCTAATACAGAATTATTATCAGATCAAGCAACACAAAAAGTTGATGATTTATCTTGTTCAATTACGGAAAATGTTATTGTATCATCTGATCAACAAGAATCAGCATTGATAAATAGTCAGTCAAATTCATGTTGTAAAGATATGTCCAATGTTGATTCACAAGTAATAGAATCCAAAGCAGAAGCTGATATAAAACCGTCCGAAGATAATGATTTTCATTTAATTAAATGGATTGATTTTAATTTTGAATATTTACCAATACTTCTACAAAATGTTAATGGTCCTTGTCCTCTTCTTGCTATATTTAATATTCTTTTACTTAGAAAACGAGTAAAACAAAAACTTCTTTATAAAAAAAATAAAAATAAAAATAAAATTTCTAAATTAATTATTTAATATAGATTATTCTTGATCCAAACAGAGATGCAATAAGTACAGAACGAGTTATAACATTACTTGCTGAACACATTCTCGAACATGATCAATCGGTAAACAACAAAAAGAAAAACAAAAGCTCTTTTTATATCTTTTTTTTTCTAGAAATTATCTGAGGAAGATCGAATTAATTATGAACACAATGTTCAAGATGCACTTGCTGTACTTGATAAACTTAAAACAGGATTAGATGTTAATTTGAAATTTGATGGGTAAACGAAAAAAGATAAGAAATATTTTCTTTGTATGTCTTTTGTGTTTTTTTTTCAGTGTAGATAAATTTGAATATACACCTGAATGTATTATATTTGATTTACTTAATATTCAATTATTTCATGGATGGGTTATTGATCCACAAGATACAGAATTACGAACGATTGTAACTACAGATGCACCAAGTTATAATCAATTAGTTGAAAAAATGATTCGACAACGACATTCCGAACGAGAAGAACTTGTTCGAGAAAGTAAAAAGAAACAGTTTTTTTTGCTCTCTTAAAAGAAATTGTCAAACTAGTAAAATGTATTGGATGATTCTTATATAATGAACTTCTAACTTAACCAGAATTTATTTCTATAGAAAGTTTCGGAGAGAAATCAAACCAAGAATATTCAACATATTGAAGTGGATCAAGTTTCTAAGCTAAAATATTGTTGTTTTCAAGCGTTTGCATTAAAGCTGTCGTGTGAAAAAAAAAAGAGAGATAGTCCTTAGAAAACTCTATCAATCGGTAGTAATTGAATAAATACGAAAACATTCTTTGAGACGTTCTAAAAAAATATTCAACGATTTCAATTTGTACTTCTCGGCAACATTGTACCACTAAGTCAAACGAGAATGTTTTTTTCTTTTTATATCGGTCTATCAGATTTAGCTGGAGTTGAATAAACTTTAGGACGGGTTTTTCTTTTTACATATTCAATATTCTTCGTTTGATTCCTATCTTCAGCTTCCGACAGTAATAAATCTGATTAGAGAAATTCATGAAGTATCTAGTATTCAATGTTTGTTTTTTTGAAGGTTTATTAATTGAACAATTTCTCGATGAAAATCGTTCTCAATTAACACATTATGGTATTCTTCAATTAAATCAAACAATGCGTGATAATCAATTAGCTGTTTTTTTTCGTAATAATCATTTTAGTACAATATGGAAAAACCAAGTAATTAAAAAAATTTCACTAACTTAAATCGACTCTAATCAATCAAGTTCATTTTTTTTTCTCGATGATAATATCTTCGTCAAAGTTTGTATTCATAAAGACGTTGTCAAACAAATACTGTTTTGAACTAGAATTATTGACCTCAATGAAAAAAATATATAGTATTTTCCAAAAGTATCTTTAAGACTATACATGTAGAATTTTTTGCCATATATACAACCTTAAAAATGTCGCTCACTGAGACTAAGCGGATCTTATGCGCTCGAGTAAAAGAGGAAAATATAGTCAATTACAACTCTTCTCACTATCAATTCTATAACCCAAGAAGAGAAAAAGCTTTTAACACGATGAATCCATCATTATGTAGTTCATTTAATGTGGCTTTTTATGTTATAAATTTCATACTAGTGTTCAAAAGCTGTTATGATAGGTTGATTAGGTTGTCAGCCTCTTTCCTTGTTGAGCTACACATGTCATTATGAATAGAGCTGTCAAACATTAGAATATCTATTGACAATTTTCTTGTGAATAACAATTTTGAAGAGTTCTCTATCATTGAAGAATAAACCATTTAGATTGATTAAAGTAGACTAGAACTACTTATAAATTGCTCAATATATAATCATTTTTTTTTTGTAGAATCAACTTCTTGTACTTGTTTCTGATCAAGGTTATTTAGATCATAAATCAATTGTATTTGAAACATTAACTGATATTGATAATGATAGTTTATTTACGGATGGTTATGGACGAATATGGCGAAAACCAGAAGCAGTCGATTCTTCTCGAGAGTAAGTCTTAATTCTTTAATAAATTCTTTTCTTTTTGTTTTAATTTATTTTATTTTATTTAGTCGTGATCTTGCTATAGCATTACATAATGAAGAAGAACGATTGTTTCACGAAGCTCAATTACAACAACAACAACAACAACAGCAACATCAAACTTTAGTAAATTCTAGTCAACCGACTGGTTCATCTTTGCGACAATCGAAAAAATCGAAAAATAAATCGAAACGATCATCAGATGACGATGATGATAAAGACTCTTGTACTTTACTTTAATCTCATGTATATATGTGATACAGTTGTCTTTTTTTTTAAATTTTATTTCAATTTTTCTTGCTGTCTAATAACATATTAAATAAACTAAACCAAAGAAAAAAAAACCAAAAAAAGTCACTAATGAACTATACAATAAATATATAGAGATATTGTTTATTGTGTTTTTTTTTTATTTACAAAGATATTCAAATTCATTCGGATATATATAATAAGATGATGATGTTGTTGACGTACGACTATTTGTTGTTGGATAAAGATTAAGTGGAGTATTTAAGACTACTGATATATCTGTACATCGAGATTTAGCATCACTTGATGTACTACTTATTGTTGATATACGATTTGATACAGATTGTTTTGAATCAATTAAAAGTGAAGATCTAGATGGTAAAGGTGCTTCAATAATAGACATTTCTTTTTGACGTTTAGTATAACGTATTGATGTTAAACATAAATAAATAATGACAAAAATAAGTAAAATAATAGCAAGAAATATACCAACAGTACATGATTGGATGAAAAACCATTTTTCATTAAGTAAATCATTTGATGTACGAATTGTATAAGTATCTAAATCATCAAGTAATTGATATGACGTTGAAGATGATGATGCTGCAGACGATAAATGTAATGTTGAAGATGGAATACAACAATAACGATCAGTGTCTGGACCACAACAAATACGAGGTAATGAACAATCGAAACCTGCAAATAGAAAACAAAAAGAAAAATTTGAAGCATTAACTATAGGATTGATGTATAAAAATTGGGCTTGTCTTCTCTACACTCAACACATCTAATTAGTTACGATGAGATAATTTTAAGGTATCTATGTAAACCAAAGCTCATGAATCGTTTTATCTAAGAATTCCATACAGGAAATATGTTATTTGGTATAATTTACTCTATTTATATTCAGACATTAAACTAATGTGAGAACCTATAACTGATAAATTCATATAATAAAACAAAAGAAATTTAATACCATTGTTCCATATTCCATATCGATCAAGAAAACCAGGGCACGATGTACTCATATTCTCGAATTTATAATTGTATAGATGGGATTAATGATTTTTGTTGTCGTCAAAATGCTGTGCTTGTCATCAGACAAGAAATGACCGTCTTAGTAGTAAGAAGCGAAGATGTTCGTTGTTGCTTATTCTATCAAATCAGATAAGTGAAAGGAAAAAGCATCATCTTCTCTAAGGAGAACGAGAAAAAAAAAGATTAATCATGAGTATGTGTGAGTAGTACAGACGATAATATCGTTCAATTGAGGCGCGAGACTGAACAAAAGTTGATTGCATCTGGCAGAATAGATAATTGATGGGCTGGGACACATGTATATAGACGAGAAAAAAGCATTTCACTGTTTATAGAATCATCATATAAAAAAAAGACAGACATGTCAGTTTACATTTTTCAATTAGACACCAACGAAGACCAGGCAAACATACTATACAATTGATGTTATGGATCATCACTATGATAGACAGACGATTGATTTACATACATAAGAACTACTGATATAAATCGATATCAATAAGATGTAGCTTAGTAAATCTTTACACTCTTTCTGTCATTAATACAATTATTATATTGAGTATATCATTTCTATTCATCTATACATGTTTATATAACTTATTTTTCTCATATCATCTCCTTTGTAATATAGAAATAACAAAAGTAATTTATGTATTTTTATGTCTCGCCTATTCTTTCTCGTTTATGTAAGTTATCACTGCTGTTTTTATTTATTTATTGTACCATACTCATGATTATATCAGTCGGCTGTTATCTTACAACATTACAATTATTCTGGAATTCTTTTGACACAACATTCATTATTTTCACAGACATAGATATATACATATACATAAAGAATCAATCATTCAGTTAAAACATCAAGTTTTGTTGGTATTCATATGATGTAACAATAAAACTATTCTTCCAACGAGAGAAACTTATGTTTCTTAGAAAAAACAAAAAAACACTTTCTTTTATGATTCTTTCATCATACCTGTGGAAACATCCAATGAGTCACTGTTGGTTTTTTTCAAGTATATTTATTCGTTCTTTCTGTGTCGCCTCGCAAAAAAGAAACAACAAAGATTTTTTTTTACATTTTAACTATCGAGTAAAGTAAAGCAAAGGTAGTCGATTATAGACTGTGTTTTTTTTGTCTTATTTTAATATGTAATTTTTCTTTATAGAAAACAATATGTCAGATGAAAAAGTACAATGGTTTTGGAATGCAGCTCCAAATCCATTTGATAAAAATCAATCACCAACATGGACTCCATATAGTGGAGAAGATAATAAAATAATTGAAGAACATTTTCAAAAAAAATCTTTAAAAGCTGAACTTAAAAATCATTTTATATACTTTAATGAACGTATGCAAGTACAAAAACAAGATTTTCATAGACAAAGACCAATTAAACGTGAACCACCACCTAAATAAACTATTATTGTATATATTTTTTTAAAAGACCCCTAGGTTTCTTTATAATTATTTTATAGCAACTTTTCTTTTTGAGTGCAAATGTGTTATTTTGTATTTCATCGATAAACAGAGCTGTTTTTTTTTTTGTTAATTTTTTTTTGTAAAATAGATCATGAATTATTTTTAAAAAAGTATTTTTTTTTTGTACTCCAGAAAATATTCATTGGTATTGTATTCAATATGACAATTATTTCATTATATTAATTTTATAGTATGAAATCATAGACATAATTAGTTATTAAATGCAATGAATTAAATAAAAAAATTTTCAACATAATTAATGTATATTTTGACTGTTTTATAATATAAGATTATATTTTATGATAATGGTAACTGTTATGTATAGTGACTGATATAAAATTATATAGTTTATTCATCACAATCGAATTTATTGACATTTTCATCTGATACATCAACGAAGATAGATAAACGATTTATATATTTTTTTTTCTGACAAAAGTTTAGTATGATACACGTAAGAATCGTTTGGTCGATGATCACTTTGGGAAAGAATATGAACGTTTAGTTAATCAGAAAAGAGCAATTATTTTTCATAAGATCGTGACTGATAATGTATCTACTTTGAATGGCTGAATAGATCAAAGTAACGTAATCTGAATGTACCACCGTAGATTTAACTAGTGAAACTTTTCATTAAGTTTTTAAGAATATGAACATGATGATCTATAGTTATGTAGCATTTACCAAAGTTTTTAAATTAAAATGTTTCGAGCAATGAGTTTTACAGATGAAAAAATTTTCTGAGAACCTTGTATTGTTTTTTTATGGCTGACTACCGATGAAAGTATCCATCAAAAATATTATTCGCAAGTATTTTGTTGTTGATAGACAGATTGAAATGTTAAAACTCAAAGTATACAATAAAATCTTCGGCTTAAAATTTACTATGACTATTCTATTTATTTTTTGATGATGACTATAACAGTTGCAGATTTTAGATCAATTTTTAACATTCATATCTAATGAATTACGCTTCATTATAATAAAAGGAGATTTTTGTAGTCTAAATTAACTTTAGTTATTATATAAATCATAATTTACAAATTCATTTGAATAAAAATTAAAGATATCAATATTATTTTGCACAAGTTAGATCTGCATTTTCTATTGATTCAAGTTAAGGAAAAGGCTAATACTGATCTAAATATATCACTTGAATAATTCCGAATACAGTCCACTAAAACAGATATGAAGAAAGTTTTAGATCAATGCAATTGACTATTCTAAATTTTATTATTCAATCTAAGGAATAAATTTAGACTTCCTAACAAAGTCTAGTAATAACGTATCGCATACATATTTACACTACTTTGTCATAACAATAAATTAAATTTATGTAAATCATTTTCTAATTTATTTTTTCAAAAAATAATTCCGGAATACATAGAAAATTGTTTAATAGGCTGATATCACTGATATTTTGAAGATAATGATGATCGGAACGTTCAAATTTTTGGAAGAAGTGTAAAAACGTTTGTCTGGAATAGCACGTACTTAAAATAACAGCAGTTTTCTAGTTATTTGTTCTGTATACACAAAATAATTCTATTAATATAATCATATAAAGAATGCATATTACAAGAGAAGAGAGCTGCATAGAGATATTCTGAGATGATTAGGATTAGAAGACAATCACACATTTTTCCGCCATTTAAGATGCGATAGTTTGAAGAATGAAAAGAACTCAATTTAGTCTTTCAGTATTTAGAGAAGAAAAATTGATTTTATATCGAAAAATTTTTTAAAATTTTTTGATATAAAATCAATTCAAGCCGTTCATGATAGCGACTATTGATCAAAGTCATGCTTTTCAGAAAGTATTATTAATCAAGGATTCTCAGAGCTAAGATTTCAATTGATAAAATTCACTGTACTCCTGTGAAAACGAGAATGTCGTCACGTATAAGTTATGATGATTCTTTGTAACTTTTGTCATTCAATGTGGCCACTCTCATGACGGCTGTTCAATAACAATGCTCTTTTTGCTTAAAAAAGACATTATTAGATTTCTTCAAATCGTAAGACTAAAGGTTTTCTCTAGATCGATTAGGATTGTATAGTCGTTAGTTTTTTGTGAAGCGAAAAATTTTTCATTAGCCTTTATAGCTTGTATGAGAAAAATTTAATTTAATGTTTTCATTGAAAAAAGTTAGCAAACTTGCACTACATGTTTGTTTTCAGGCCTTTTTACTGGTGAAAATTCCAAGTATTGATTCAAGGAGTTTACTTACAACCTGGTCGAGCTACTATTGTTTGGAAGGTAGAAACAATCGAAAGAGTTCAACGTAAAATTCAGCTTCACAAATTAAATAGTACAGTATGAATCATCTAATGGCCTTTTATAGAGTATTTTTAATCAATTAATTCAAGAGAATATGAGATACAAAGGTTAAATAGCAATTATTATAAACCAACTACAAAACCAATATTCGCTAAAGTTTAAGGATAAGACCTAGAAACGTAAATTGTGTCTAGCTTTCTATTCTTCTACAACATAGTCATCATATTGTAAGTATAATACACATGGTGACTATGTAGGATGACAAAAAAGGGCATTCGCACATTATTATTCAAATTAACCGACGAGTAGTATCTAATGATAAAAATACAGAACCCGTCTACCCTCCGAATTTTAATGATATACGTCCAGTTTATCCTCGTTTATATGCGTACTTTTACAAGGTGACAATCATTGTTATTAGATTATTAAATAGTTCGATCGATTGTTCAATGCTGTTTATGTGAGCATGTGATATAATAAAAATTACAATATTTGAATAATCTAACATTAAATTTTTCTTGCAATAGAAATAGCATTAATATAACATCCGTTGAATTTCAAACAGGAAGAAAATACAGAATAAAGGGAATGATAGAAAACCAGAACATTTTTCTTGACTATAAAACCTTTAACACTAATATACTATTATCTATGATTGTATATTATTCATAGAAATACACTAATTCGATACGGAATAAGATGCAATAATAAATAAAATGTCTAGACCGGTATTAGAGAACAATAGCCACTAGAGTTTCCACAGTTAGTAAATCAATTTTTTGAAATGATGTAGAAAACCTAAATAATCATTCAATATAGCTCTAATTTTTCTTTTAATATTTCTAATAGCAAATTTGTCTACTTGTTAAATTTCAATTAAAATCAGTATAATTTGTCATCGTACGGTAAATATCATACATAGCCTGAATATACAAAAAAATATGAGCAAAACACATTATATCTCAATATGAATGAGATATAATTACTGAAGGATCCGTTCCTTCGGAATTTTTTTTCATGAAAAACAGATCATTTATTTTCCATTTCAAATAATAATAACAATAAACAAAAAACATTTTCTTCCAAAATCTATTTTTAAATATCTTGCAAAGTTTAATTTCCATATTAAAATTATTTTTATCGAATTTCTGAATCAAACACGTTTCTTCGCTTTAAAAAAAAAAGAAAGAAAATTATTTTTATCATATAGAATTTTGTGAAGCTTCATAAAATCAAAAAGAACGGCGCAAAACTTCACATTTTTTTTTGTGCCACAGTTATTCAAAGTAAATAAAAAGAAAGTGCATTTTAACAGTTCATATTCAGATGAAAGAAACTATATCAATAACTTTACACATAGTTTAAAATAAAATATAATTGAATTGAAATTTCAAAGAAATTCACAAAATCGACTAACAATAATAATAAATTACAAACTAAATTAAAAAATTTAGTAAATACTAATGAAGACAACACTCTTGTGAGTAGTAGTGGCATAAGCAGGAAATCGATTAGTGGTAAGGTGGCGTCCATTCTTGGCTACGACATTAATCTACATCATATAAAATCTTAAATGTACTCTATACATACACTAATTCATGGAAAAAAAATCGAATCTAAACTGTATCAATTGCGTTTCAACATCAATCTATAATTGTTTTCTTAAAAGAGTAAACATTGATTTTTTTTTAATCTGCTACAAAATACATGTAATTAATAAATATAAAATCAATTGAAACATAGATTTTTCCTTCTTACAATCATGGATACCTTTAATATGCGTACATGAACAAGTAAAAAAAAGAACCTTATGACAAGCATCATCAATATATGCATACTTCATATTAAAGCCAATCAAGTGTTCATCATCTTTCGATCATCACCATCATCATCATCATTATTTCCATTTCGTCACATATTGAATATTGCACAAGGAAAGAATAGAAATAAGTCTATTATTCTTTTGTTTTTTTTTTTCACTACTATTTTCAATATGTACACAAGAGAGAAAATTGATTAAACAAAATCATCATATTGTATTACTCTTTATAGGTGTGTATTTGTTGAATAAATGAAATTGAATTATCAATCGCTTCTCTCTCGCTCCTATTTTCTTACAATTAAACTGAAAAAAAAAGAGAGAAAAGCTATTGACTTCCTAGGACTTCTCTTCGTCGGCTAGGATCGATTGAAACAAAACAACTATCACACTTATTTGCATTTCTTTCAATTGACTGTATTGTATATTTATATATAGATATATGAGCGTGTACGAGAATAGAAGAATAAAAAGACAAGCAAAAAAAAACAAAAAAAAAAAAGAAAAAGAAAGAATTTATACAGATTTGTTCGGGCTAGTAATTGTTGACAATGATGATTCAGACGAGGATTTATTTGGATCAATTGATGATCGTTGTTGAAGAGCAAATAGAGCATCAGCAGCAGTTGGTGTTAAATAAGGTGAATACCATAGAGAATGATGTAGATTACTAACACCAGTAGCAGCATGATGATGTTGAAGTAATCGATGAACAGCAGCAATATTACCTTGTTGTTCAAGAAATTCTAAACTTACAGCTGCTTGTCGTTTCCATTTCGTTCTAAAAATAATTAAATTGTAATTTTTTCAAAATTTATGATAACTCTTACCTTCGATTTTGATACCATGTTTTTACTTGTGTATCAGATAGACTGAGACGAGCAGCAAGTTCCATACGATCTTGTACACTAAGATATTTTTGTCGTTCAAAACTTTTTTCTAAACAATTTAATTGTTGATCTGTAAATGCTGTACGTGCTTTGCGTGGCTTCTTATTTGTTTTTAATGTACTATTATTCATAACATGACCACCACCACTATCCGATGTACTAGTTTCTTCACCGATATCGGAATCTATTCAAAAAAAACAATTTGTTTTATTTCATAATAATAATACTACAAAAATCTATGCAGTATACTGATTGGTTAAAAATAATTATTGGACAGAAAAAAAAAATGTCTCATGCTTAATGTTTTGTTCAAGAACGAAAATTCTTCAATAGTTTCTGAAAATATAAAAAATGATCTTGCTAACATATTTGAGTTAATATATTATTTATTATCACTAAGACGAAGAATAGAATATTAAGCACGAAAAGAGCTAGAATAGCATTTAAAAGATCAGTTAGCACATTTTTCACTTCAAGTAATCATTCATCATCTTCTTACATCGAACAATATCATGATATTTCATTGTTCGATTTTTTTTTAGACAAATCGATTCAATCATGTAATAGTAACCTTAGAAAAAAAAAACATTTTTCTCTTACCATTGTCATCACTGTCACGCAACATTGTATCATCATCATCACCACTTTCACCATCTTTGGTAATACTTGATATAAGATGATTTTCATTGTTATTATTATCATTATTATGATGACGATGATGATTGTGAGCTGATGTTGGAGATGGTGAACGACTACGATTACCGAGTATATCAGTAATAAAAAAAGAAGTACAACATCGTCGTTTAGCTTTCAATGTTGTAGACATTGTTGGTGGTCGAATTATGTTAGGCGACAAGAAAAAGAAACTGGTTGTTGAAGCCATTCGAGTTTCTGTAATCGGGCGTGACAAGAAATGTAATTGGAAAAATTTAAATGTATACTGTACTCTCTTATGCTCTCTTTCTCTTTCTCTCTTTCTTTCTTTCTCTATAATCTCTTTGCCTATTGGTTGAAAGCGGCAAAAAAGGGGAAAAAAGTGAATGACTCGCTACCTTGTCTTTTTCTCTCTTTTTTTCTCATTGCCGATCATCTCTCTTGAGAGTTTCTTTCGATCGCAAATTGTTTTCTTTAACATCGATCAAATATGCTCTCTGTTTTGCTCATTTCATCATCAACTCTTTCTCTCTCTCTCTCTGTCCCTCTTTTTCTTTACAAATGTGTTCGATTTTCTTTTCTTTTTTGCACGCATCAAGATTGATGTTTCGTCGTCATCGCTGTTGTTGTTCAATTGACTCTATTAGATAGAAACTACTAGTAGTTATTGAAGAAGAATAAGAAGAGGAATAACTAAAAAAGAAAGACGATGCGGAAAGAGAAACATACATATATAAAAATAAACTGATTAAGATTAGAGTCATCTCGAGTGAGACAAAGAGGCGAACGGATTGGCAGGAGATTTCAAGTGAAGAAAATGATGATGCGAGTGGATGGATTTGCTGAACCGTGCCGATTAGAATCTTACAAACTAGACATCCTAATATAAGACAACAAAAAAAAAAAAGAAAACTCAACATTTTCTGTATGTAATTTTATTTCTTTAGTTAAAAAAATAGGTGATAGATCTCTTTTCTTTTCATCATCATCGTCCATTTAATCATCTTTTCAAGTAGTATAGTCGATTCATTTCTCTCATAGATATGGTTTCTCTCTTCTGAGATTTTTTTTTAATATATTCGTCAATTCGATCATCGCCTCATTATAAATCTTGTTGTTTTTCTCTCTTTGTTTGTGAAAGAAAAATACTAACAAAAATACATAGATGGATTCAATTTTAAATTAATCCTTTTTTCTATATGTATATATACATATATGTACATGATTGTGTGTATGTTAATTACTGTCAAATTAGCCTATGCTTGAACTATTAGAGCAACAGCAACAAGTTAGTTGCTATATATGTGTCACCGCCTGTCCATCTGCTAGTATTGCTTGACTTCAAACAGATAGATAAAAACCCTGGAGGCGACTATGATTCTCATAAAAAAAGACGAGCGAGCAACATATAAAGAAAAAGAGCAAAATTTATGATAACAAGCACACGCGACCCGATCATTTGTAATGGATCTGTTTCACATAGTATATGAGTAGCTAATCTTTTTAAAGCAACACAGTTTTGTTTTCTCTTTGGTGTGTAGTCAATATGCATATGCGCGCGTTCATCACCATCAATGATGATCAATTTTGAGATGGCACGCTATCTGTCTGTCTATTTCTTTGTCTATTTCGTCGATTCAGGTGAAACAAATTGAATCGGAACGAGTCTTTGGGGGAAACAACGAGAAAAGGAGAAAGAAAATGACAGGTGCGATGATTGTTCGCATTTATATCTTAGTGTCGAGTCTCATGATAGACTACTTCCGATGTTCGTTGCCTTTGTAATAAGCACATTGTAATAATGACACGATTTTTTAATTCGATAACGATGATCGATTGAATCTATGTAAACGAGTTCAAGATAGTACGATCTACTTGATGTGGCTCATTTCCTGTTATGATTAAACCGTTTGATATTATCAAACAGAAATTTGTCTGTCTGTTCTATCTGCATTTTTTTATAATATATATAAATCAGCTTTATTTCAATAAATGTCCAACATGTTTGATTGTTTCTATTCAAACGAAAAAAAAAAATAAGTGCAATGAACATCATTGTTTTGCAATTCATGGATCATTGAGTTTGATAATTAAAAAAAAAAAGGACAAAAAAAAGAAATTCTAAAAATTGCTTTATAATTTTTCATTGTCAATCATGCTATAGAAGAATCAACGCTTTTAGAAAAAAAGATTTTGTCTGTCTTCATTGATATAGAAACGAACGAGAGAAATAAACATTCTTAGAAATGAATCAAATTAAAAATAAATAGAAAAATTTATTTGTCGTTCAAGTGGGTACATTCAAAAAGCTAAAGAAAAGACACATCGATTTTAATTATCATAAAAAAAAGAACTTTTTTCTTTTGATGATTGATACAATTTTTACAGTTAATCTTGTTTTCGTATTTTACTACTTTTGCTTTCACACTCTATCGATCTATATATTACCTAATATAGTTGTCACACATCTGATAATATATATATATATTTGATCTTATATTTACAACACTTCTATCCTCTTTATTCAATTCAATCGAGCCCAAGGCTTTCTTTGTATGCGGCTTAATTTGTTTGTTAGTTGGATTGAGAGAAAAAAAAAAACAGAAAAAAAAAGGAAAAGTGATACATAAAATGACACCTTATGTTCATTCATTCGACCGTACAATGAACAAACGATAACAATCAATGTGTGACATTAACTACGAATATCGACAATCAATAAACATTAAAAAGAACAAAACATACAGGTGACTTATATGTCCTTGATTGAATTCACCTGCTTAATGAATGTCAATCTATTTATTAGTGTAATCAATATAATCAAAGAGAAAAAGAAACCTCATGTATGTCCATCTTATGTTCGTCATCATCCATTGAGCAGTTGTACAAGCACGAGCAAGTCTATCGATCGATTATTATTAATCGAATAACTACCACCTTCAAAGTGTCAATCCGATTCGTATTAACAATACGCAAAGAACATGATGATGATAGTAATGATGAGAAAATTATTTTCATTTGAACAGAAAGAAAAAAAGAACGAAGGATACAACGTTGATTCTTCTGATTTGCATATCATAAACATATGTAATGAAGAGAATAAAAAAGAAAAGAGTGTGCAAAGAAGAACAACTATTGATTAACTGATCGATCAATCTTTATTTATAATGATATAGACATAGACTTTTTTTCTCTTATTACACAATCAAATGTAAAAATAAAGCCGGAAATTGGATATATAATTTTTCAAAGAATCATTTTTTTTAATGTTATTTTTCATATTCAAATTGATCCGTTTTTTTTTTCTTCTTTCTATATTAAATTTAAACTGCCAATCATTTTTGGCTATTTTTATGCTTTTTTTTTACACCAATCAAGTAAATGTAAGCATTTGTTGAAGGAAAAAAATGCGAGAGAGAATGTGTGTAAAATGTCAATTATCTGCTCTCTTTTCTTCGTCATTCTCTATATGTCACTGCAAATGAAAGAAATCCCACTGTCACACTATAAAATACAAAAAAAAGAAAAGAAAAGAGAACAACAGAAGAAGTGAGAGAGAGAGTATGTGAGACAAAGAAATCATTGTATTGCATTCACTATTCTCAAAATTATTCTTTTTGATTGACCGGACTCACTTTCGATAAGAAAAAGAAAATGACAATGGTAAAACAACGTCGTTCGTTTTTTGTCGATGATATCTTACATATGGTAATGCCAGTAAATAAAAATACAAATAATTCAAATGAAATTAGTGATCGTAAACGTAAACGGTCAATTATACCTGAAGATAATAATAGAGAAGAAAACGATAGTATTGAAAATGGTATATTGAATAAAAAATTTCGATCATATAACAATGAAGAAAAGGATAATGATGATGATGACGAACAAGAAGATGATGATGATAATGGCGCATCAAAAGATTCACGAATACTCAATGTATCAAGAGATGGTGGTACTGATGAAGAATCATCTTCTAGTGATGATAGCAATAGTGTTAATCATTATAGTGGTAAGTTGAGATATACATATTTGATATATGAAATTGATTTAAACGAAGGTTAAACGATCATAATTGCGATCCTAAAGTTTATAAAAAAAATCTTTCCGAATTCAATCGTTGATTCCATACATTTCAGATTTCTTTAAACATAAAGTTTAAATGTACAATTTATTTTCTATCGATGAAGAAACTCTTTGTAGAATAAATATTCACATGGAAGTATCGCTGATAACTGGCTCGTGGACGTGACGTCCCTGTGCTTCTGAAATTCGTCCATACATCGATCGATTTGCTTTTGAAAACTGTCGAAATAGAGTCGACTTTTCCTTAGAACTCAACTACTGTAAGATTCCGCTGTTGAGTTACGCCTCTGCATTTACATAAAATCTTTTTATTGATTTTATTATGAACGTCAACAGAAATGAAAAAATCCGTAAATGTTGATAGTATTGTCATTACTTTTTGTGGCGGAGCGTCCTAATCCAAAATGTTGGCTCTGCCATAAATTATTTTTCAACACTTATTGAAGAATGCTAATCCGAAATTTTTATTGACTAACATGGAGAAACATCAGCTATACATAAAAGTATCAACTATGAATTCTTGACCGTTCTTTAGAATCTAATAAAGATAAAAATCAATTTCCTATTCATAAGTTTTAGAAAAACAGATAGATTTACATATGATTTTTATAGAAAAAAATTGCTTTGAAAATAAGATCGATTTCAATAATTATTATACTTGAATGATTACTATTGTAGTTGATCATTATATTTAGATGATGATTTATGTGCATCAAGTTCATGTTTGGCAGCAATTAATCTACGCAAAAATAAAAAACAACGCAAACCACGTACAGCTTTTACTGATGCTCAATTAAATACATTAGAAAAAAGTTTTGAACGACAAAAATATTTAAGTGTACAAGAACGATTAGAACTTGCAAATCGTCTTCATCTTTCTGATACACAAGTAAAAACATGGTATCAAAATCGAAGGTAAATTTTCGTTGATTCATTTAGATTCGAATGTTTACTTTTTTTTAAAAATTATTTAATTAATAATTTTTAGAACTAAATGGAAACGACAAGCATGTCTTGGCCTTGAATTATTTGCTGGTGCCACATTACAACGTTGGATTCAACGACAACCACATTTACTTGCTGCTGCTGCTGCTGCATATCGATCACCAGCAGATGCAACTAGCGCCATCGGTCCATTTGGTTCAGCCTTATTAACTGAAGCAAAAGCTGCAGTAACAGCCAATCCTAATACGCATATATTTTCTCCGGCATCTCTTACTTTTCATCGCCAAGAATAAATCATATTTTCAAAAGACAATCGATGTTTTATAATGGAAGAAGAAAAAAAACTTGATACCAACTTTCATCTATTCTCTTTCAGTATATGTTTTTTATGAAATTTCTCTTTTTAATGTGTTTGATTTGATGTGAATTTAATCGAACTATTCTTGACTTAATTCTGAATTTGATAAAATGAATTATTTCATGATTTAAAGTTTTTCTCGTTGTTTTTGACTCAAGATTTAACATAGTGCGCGTCTGAAATAAAAATATGTTTCAGTTTTTGAAAATTATTACAGTGCACAGCACTGTATAGTAATCCTTCGCGTACGCATTCCGCATACATACTTAGCACATTTATCTCTGTAACAAAATTTGTACTTTGTGTTGTGTTGATCTCTGAAACGACGAGTCTTTAGAAATTTGTTAAGATTTTTTCAGTGAAATCAATGTTACAAGATGATTCAAATGATTTCAAATCTTTAATGTGATGTTTCGTTCGTCTTCAATAAGCTTCCCAAAAAGGTAATTTTGACGATTTGACCTTGATCTTTTGCCAGAAATAAGGGAAACTCTCGACAGGACAGAACCGACTCTAGGTGAAATCTTTTATCGTTTTTATGTTTATTGAAATTCTAATACCGAAGATCGAGATCACTTTGCACCGTTTTTATATAGTCTTTTGCGTATTTTCTTGTTTTAATAAACAGACATATGCATCGAAAGTTACCATTTTCTGTTCCGCTGATCTCAAGAACAGGAAGTCAGATAATATGCAGATAGACGATCTTATACTGGCTTATTAACACATCGAAGTACTTAAACGTCGTTTTAAAAGCGTGAATTTGTATGGGCCTCTTTTCCCATACCAATCTCTTATAACTATTTGAAATCAAAATGAATTACATATGTTAAGTTCTTTTTCTTTATTGCTCTCAACCCGCTTTCGCTAAAAATTCGAAAAAAATTGAGCATAGAACGATCATCTAGGTTCGCACACACTGATATACGGCCGTATACAGTAGTCGTAGAACTCCGCATATGAAGCAGATAAAGTTAAATTTTAATCACTCTGTATTTATTTACAACCTTCGTATACGAAATTCTTCTCTGATCATTTCACCTCGTATATATTCATCGTATATGGAATTCGTTTACGGTTTTAGCATATAATTGTTTTTCTCCGTAAACAATCATTTACAAGCGTGCATGTTCGACCTGGGTAGCTTTCAGTTTCATTGTTCAGTGTTAGCAATACACATAACTTTGATCAAGTTATAATTCAGCTCCAATGACTAGCCTTTTAATAACCTTATTCTTTTAGAACTCCCATGAATATAAGGTGCAAGTGTAATGGCTGTTACGTTCACATCCACACCCAAAACAAATGGAATGATCTGCAATGTACTTTAATTTTGAAAAATTTTTTTTCGAGTTGGACAGATCTGAATGGGTTGTTAAATGCAGTTTTTATCGCTGATTACGAATTTGACATTTATTTTGTAAAAAAACCAGATTTAGGAATTGCAAATCAGATTTTAAATTTTTCAAAAATTGATTTTCTAATTTTCTAATTTTCTAAGCAAGACTTTTTTCAAAAAATGCTGAGAGATATACCATTCGATGCCGAATTAGATTTTCTACAAAATGGCCTATTTAGTTTGAACTTTCGTAACTAAAGGCAACTTGCAGACTCTTATACAGTTCCCAACTTTCTATTCAGTTTAGGAGCTTTCATATCGATGTATCAATCTCATTCTTGCGTAGAAAGATTAGCTACACAAAAAGAATTACATTGATTAAAACCAACTCATTCTTACCATGTTAAGTACTTCAAATTGGTAGACAAAAACTGTGTAACAATGTTACGTTTGTTTTATGCATTTTTCATCTCACCCAAACTGCTTTAGAGAAAATTCTTTTTAATCGCTTAAAAGTTCGTTCGCTGCTCTATGAAACTGCCTCTAAAAGTATCTCATTTGGAGAAAAACTTTCGCGAGAAACTACAGTTTTCTCAGCGGCATTGCAGAAAAAAAATGTTATTGTGTGACAACGTTACGGGATAATAATACCCTTCTAGACGCTCGACACTTCAGCCAAAATAATCGTTCCTATAGGATGATTAGAGTTTGATAAGTTGCACCGAATGGCGTCTGAACGAACCTCCTAGCTCATAAACCATCCGAGATAATTGAAAAAGAGTCTGTCAAAAATAGCTCTCAACTTTGTTTAAGATATAGCTGACTACCTCAACAAACAGTTTAGTGTCTCGATAAAACACGTTCATGATATTTCCAACAAAAATGTCTTTAAATGGATGTTAAGA